AGTTTCTGTTCCTAAGTCAAGGGGGACAAAAGGAAAGGGTTAGAATTCTTAAAATTTAAAAGCTTGAAAAAGCATCCCTATGGAGCTGAAACCCCTGAGAAGCTAGGCTTTAATCCACAGTTGCTGATGTCTCTCAGCTTAGTGGCAGGGCCAACTATCCAGACAAATCTGAGAAGAGTGGGCTCCAGCCAACTAGAGCTGGTGTCTGGTTCTCTGGTGGGAGGGAGGTGGGTTGAAGCAATACAGCAGGTTCTGCAAATGTTGCAAACTTGATCTGAAGCCTACTTTGATGAGAAATTGCTGCTGCCTGAAGGGAAGAAATGATATTCACAAAAGCTACAAGCAGTAAGCTCACAGGAAGCAACAGGAAGAATTCAGTCTTTTCCTCCCCCACCAGCCTTCCAGATCCTACCTCTAGAGCCCGTTATTGGCAGAACCCAACAAAAAGTAGCTGTCACTGGAAAATTGTACATTGCAGAGTTCCAGCTCCAACATCACAATGCAGAATATAGAAAAGTGAGCTTGGAACTGGCACAGCCCACCCCTTTGCCTACACTGCATCCATATGCACCCTTCTATACATATTTAAACTTTCATATAACAATTAAGAATCTGTTTCCTTCTTTTTTTTTTTTTTTTTTTTTTTTTTTTAGAGATGGAGACTCACTCTGTTGCCCAGGTTGGAGTGTAATGGTGTCATCATAGCTCACCGCAGCCTCAAACTCTTGGTTTCAAGAGAACCTCCTGCCTCAGCCTCCTGACTAGCCAGGACTACAGGTGCATGCTACAGTGCCTGGATAATTTTTTTAAAAAATTGTAGAGACAGGGTTTTTGCCATGTTACTTAGGCTGGTTTCAAACTCCTGGCCTCAAGTGATCCTCCTGCCTCAGCCTCCCAAAGTGCTAGGATTACAGGAGAGAGCCACTGCATTTGGCCCTCCCTCTTTCACCTAAGATGGTGCAACTATTCTTCATACAAATAAATCATTGTAGTGGGCCAGCGTGATGTTGTGTAGAATGTCAAGATGATCAAGATCTCTGTAGACTATATTATGGCTGAGAACCTATGAACCAACATATGCATGAAGCAAGACTGTGAAGGTGTACTATTGACCTTGTCAAAGAAAAACAAAGTTTTATTTATTTATTTATTTATTTATTTATTTATTTATTTATTTGAAACACAGTCTCGCTCTTGTCACCCAGGCTGGAGTGCAATGGCATGATCTCAGCTCACTGCAACCTCTGCCTCCTGGGTTCCAATGATTCTTCTGCCTCAGCCTCCTGAGTAGCTGGGATTACAGGTGCCCACCACCACGCCAAGCTAATTTTTGTATTTTTAGTAGAGACCAGGTTTCACCATGTGGGCCAGGCTGGTATTGAACTCCTGACCTCGTGATCCACCAGCCTTGGCCTCCCAAAGTGCTGGGATTAAAGGCGTGAGCTACTGCACCCAACTGAAAAACAAAGTTCTTTCAGTCATCCTAGCACATTGGTAAAGAGCAGGATATGGGGAAGGGGCCGAGGAGGGTGGGGGTGGGGGAGTGGTGCACATTTTTGTATCAGGTGTCAAGAGCTGTACTTATTGTTCCAGTAAAGACATTACATCTGAAAAAACTGCTGGAAATAAACCATGCCTGATTAACATTAAAATATTCCACAGTCACTGGTTTTAAGATCATCTACCTTCTGCAGAGGCCCAATAGATGCATTAAATGGAGATGTAATAGGAATGAACACTTCTACCTCATTCTAGCATTAGATGATAGTAGTGTTAATAATCTCTGCAATTCCTCCAATGATGTCCTATCTTTTGGTTTATTATACAGGCAGAAAAGAGAAATTCCAACAGCTTCTATTTGACCCTTCCTATCCTAATGACCCTTAGTCCATAAATGAGAGCCAATATGGGGACATGACCAGTTACCAAGTATGTTTTTAACAACTATACATTCTGAATTAGGAATAAACAGGATGGGCTCAAGTACCTGCTGAGCCCACCGGACTCAAATTTGACCTATAACTCAATTTTTCTGTCACTTCACCACCATAAACTCCCACTCTAAATGGTGGTCCAGTGGCATTTTGAGACCCTAGCAATTAGCATCAATTCACAGCCAGAAATACTCCCAAAGGTCTGAGTATTTCTATTCCCCAATACACAGTCCCTCTAGAAAGTGGCCACAGGTCCCTTTGGGGAAGGGGTAGAGGAAAAATTTTTATATACTGGGTTCTTTCTCAAGAGAACCCAGCCTCCCTTTAAATTAAGGGGCTCTGGCCCTTGAACTGTTTTAGTCTGGAAATTGGATGAGAGGTCATGACTCTCCGTTCTGGTAGACCTGACCTTATTTCATTTTCTTTTTGTTTGTTGAGACAGGGTCTTGCTCTGTCGCCTAGGCTGTAGTGCAGTAGCATGATCAAGACTCGCTGCAATGTCAACCTCCCAGGCTCAAGCGATCCTCCCACCTCACCCTTCCATGTAGTTAGGACCACAGGCACGTTCCACCACACCCGGCACTTTTTCGATTATTTGTAAAGATGAGATCTCCCTATGTTGCTGAGGCTGGTCTCAAACTCCTGGGCTCAAGTGGTCCTACCACCTTGGCCTACCAAAATGTTGGGATTACAGACATAAGCCACCACACTTGGCTTTCATTTTCGTTCATTCAACAAGTATGTATTGACACATCTTACTCTTAGTACAAATTCGTGTATTATACATTCTATATTCTTATATGGAATATGTATTTTCATAGAATATATTATATGGAATATATAGAATATATTCCTGTATGGAATATACATATAGGGATAGTATTCACAAAAAACAAAACAAAACAAAACAAAAAAACCTGAAGTACAAGGATATGAGACTTTTGTTAAAATCTTTTAATTTTACTGGCAAAATACATCAATGACTAATATATTCCCGTATGTAATATATACAGTATATTCTTACATGGAATATATTCTTATATAGAATATGTATATATACATATGTGTATATATCAAATACATATATGTTGGAGATATAAAATTAATTGGGAATAATGTCATATATATATAGAGAGAGTAAGCAAACATTTATAAAAATATTTTAAATATTCCAAACTATTCATTCTATCCACCCACAAAAATACTAGTAATTAGGATTAGGCCAGGCATGGTGGCTCACACCTGTAATCTCAGCACTTTGGGAGGCCAAGGCGGGTGGATCACGAAGTCAGGAGATCAAGACCAGCCTGGCTAATACGGTGAAACCCCATCTCTACTAAAAACACAAAAAATTAGCCGGGCATGGTGGTGCACGCCTGTAGTCCCGCTACTCAGGAGACTGAGGCAGGAGAATGGCATGAACCCGGGAGGTGGAGTTTGCAGTGAGCCGAGATCGTGCCACTGCACTATAGCCTGGGTGACACAGCGAGACTCCATCTCAAAAAACAAAACAAAACAAAACAAAACAAAAACTAGTAATTAAACCTGTCAAATGACAGTCATCCTGCTTTACCCAGATTCAGAAACATGAAATCCTTTTACCTTTCAAACTCTAGTTTCAAAGCTGTTCTAAAGTGACTTGGTTTTAATTTATATACTCGCAGGGATAAGAAGTAGATGTAGGGCTATAAAAATGTAAGGAATACAGTATTGTGCCCATACACAACTGCAAACACTTATTTTTAAGTGTTGGTAATAGCGGTCTTCAGAAACACCCTTTTTCAGACTGGCAAACTTTCAGAGTTCAAAAGTGAATGTATTACACTTTTATCCCCAACAAAGCTAGTAACTACCCTCTAAAGCAGAGGTTAACATTTTCTTTTTCCAAACCACAGAATGGATATCCCATGTGCATACTCCCATGGTTCCCCTCCCCAAGTTGTATGAAAAAATAAAGCAAATAATTATGAGGATTTTAGGGGTAGTGGTGTAGGAACAGTATTCACACACAAAAAAAACTGAAGCACAAGGATATGAGACTTTTGTTAAAATATCTTTTAAAGTAATTTTACTGGCAAAATACATAAATGACTAATCAGTTTTAAAATATTAAACATACTTTCTTTTTTCTTGGGATGGAGTTTCACTCTCGCCAGGCTGGAGCACAGTGGCAAGATCTTGGCTTACTGCTACCTCTGCCTCCTGGGTTCAAGTGATTCTCCTGCCTCAGCCTCCCAAGTAGCTGGGACTACAGGCATGCACCACCACACCCAGCTAATTTTTGTATTTTTAGTAGAGACAGGGTTTTACCATGTTGGCCAGGATGGTCTTGATCTCTTGATTTTGTGATCTGCCAGCCTTAGCCCTCCAAAGTACTGGGATTACAGGCGTGAGCCACCACGCCCTACCAAAATATTAAACATACTTTCTAATACATTGTAATTTTTAGTACTTCTATAATTACTGCTTCATAAAAAAGTGAATTTTTCCAGCTCTCCAGTTCAGATGCTTATTAACAGGTAATCAGATAGCACTGATTAAGTAGAAATAGATTGAGTAATACCTAAAATTAATGTATTTTAGCATATTGAAATGAGTATCATCAGTGTGTATTTCATTTGCTTTATCACTTTGTCTACACTTTATTAGGTGGCCTTAACGCTTGTCATTATTGACAAATGTTAACTTTCCTCACAAAAACTACAGTATTCAGTTTTTTTCAGTATTTTTGCCTTCCTTATTAAAAATGTTTCTACTGTCAAGAATTTAAAACAGAATCACGACATTGCAATCCAAACACTACCTTGGCTTGCCAGATTAAATAGTCTATGTCTTACTCTTTGGTGTAAAGCTCTAATTCCAATTTCCAGCAAAGAAGTATCTCTGAATTCAACTGAGAATGACATTTCTATGGGAATAAATGTGAATTTTCTCACATTTAACCATTAAGAACTTACTCATACCTCATCATGATAACCTAATGTTAGACTGAGAATCACTGCTCTAGGGCGACTCCAGAAGTTGCCAGTCAAGAACTGTCTTGTCCAATAATTTTATACTTCCATCTTGTAGTACAAAAACATTTTAATTTTGGCCTGATAAATGACTAAAACAATTGCTGGGGGAATTGAGAGACAGGTTTGATTCTTCAATTCCTAACCGAATTGACCTTCATTGATCCTCAGACTCATTTAGACACTTTTCAATAATATTCACAGTCAATCTTAAAGAAAATATTATTTTTGAATTCTTGCTATTGAAGGTAACATTTACATCTAAAAGAAAATCATCATCCTTATTGGACAAGTGGAGCTCAAACAAACAAACAAAAAAACCCTAGTCATAATAATGAAAATACTGAGTTTCTGATGTACAAAGAGTAAAATACTCATGTACTAGAAAAAATGGTGAGGTATAAATGGGCAAAATCTCATTCTTTCTAGTAGGAAGTCAATAAATAATTGATGTATCAAAAAGTAGCAGTATGATCATATAATTTGGAAATATAAATTCTTCAACTACTAGAATTGAAAGAGGAAGTTTCTTCTGTCACTGTGAAAGACGGACTGCCTCTTTTTTGTCACAAGCCTTTTAGAACTAACTATATGATTTTTTAAAACTGTTTGCACATGTTTGAAGGTGGGAATGGGACCAGAGAGGCGACAATTTTACCTGGAAAAACAACCCCCCAAAACCATTTATTAAGTGAAGTGAATACCATCATACATAAACCCATTCACTGTTTTTTTTTATTTTTATTTTTTTTGAGACAGGTTCTCACTCTGTTGCCCAGGTTGGAGTGTAATGATGCAAACTCGGCTCACTGCAACCTCTGCCTCCCAGGTTCAAGCGATTCTCATGCCTCAGCCTCCTGGGTAGCTGGAATTACAACTGTGCACCATCATGCCCAGCTAATTTTTGTATTTTAGTAGAGACAGGGTTTTGCCATGCTGGCTAGACTGGTCACTGTTTTTATTTTATAATTAATTTTAGCTAAAACATATGGGTTCATTTACAAAAACAAGTTTGGCCTTCTTATACAAATACTTCTAGTTGTAAAAAATTCATTTTCACACTTGAATGTCCTTAAAAGTATCTAAAGGATTCATTCTCCTTCTGCATTCTGCTTCTCAGAAAGTACTTTTGAGTTAGATCTGTTCCGAATTCTTTTTCTTTTTCTTTTCTTTTCAGAAGCAGATGACTGTGTATCCGGTGCCTTTTTCTTTTTCTTCAAACAGCTAAGAGGATTGGGACCACTTATTTTCTTGCGCTTCTTTCTTCTTCTCTGTTCAGGGTTTTTTACTAAACCCTGTTCCTCTTTGAGATGTTTGATACTTTCTTTCTCATGCACTGAGACAAGTTGACCTGACTCCACCGCTTTTACTAACGCAATTGTTTTGGGAGAAGGCTTGTCCAAAACCATAGTGTTCTGAATAATAAACATGAGAGGAACTCCAGGCTCCTTCTTTACTTTCATAGACAAATTCTGATCCTATTTAAAAGAAAACAGAATTATTTAGTTCAAATGTCAATTAAGGTACCTTAAATAGGTTTTCAAGAACTGTATTAAAAATAAAAGAGATCACAGATTTTTTTTTTTTTCAAATGAGTAAGCTTCACTTATTCATTTGAGTAATGGGGGTATATTTTATGATAAACGAAGAAAAACATAAAAACTGAGCACAGTGTTAGTAGCAGCTGTGTGAATTGGATTTACTGATACTCTAGAGCCACAAATTACAAACTAATGCAAAGGTAAATGTGTTAGGTGGGTTTCTCCTGTTTCCACTCTAAGATATTCTTTGGAAAGGGTCAAGAATGCTTGAAGAGGTTAAAGGAAAAGAAAGTGCGTAGTAATTAGCTACTCAGATTCTAAATTCAGCTCTGCCTCTGTGTAATTTTATAATTCTGATAATCAAATCTGTATGTATGTGAACTTAATATCACCTCGAAAGTCTCTCTTCTCCTGTCTTCAAGAAGATGGGAATGTTTTTCTTTAAAAGCTTGAAATATTTCATACTGTTGGTACAGTCTTAAGCAGTATGAACCATGACTTTGAGAAATAGTATGAAATCCAGGAATATGAACAAACATTAACAGAATATAGGAACTTTGCTCTACTTATCTTCCCTTCAAGACTCCTACAACAAATCATCACATCTCATGTCAACAATTTCTCGTCTTAAAAAAAGAAACTTCTGCCAGTGTCCAGCATGATGGCAAACACCTGTAATCCCAGGTACTCAGGAGCTGAGGTGGAAGGATCACTTTAGCCCAGGGGTTCGAGACCAGCCTAGGCAACATAGTGAGACCCTCAAGTCTCAAGAAACAAGCAAACAAAAAAAGCAAAACAAAGGAATCATTAAAAAAAAAAAAAAAAAAAAAAACCAACCTTCCAATACTGAAAAGAATATCACATGCTTAAAGTTTTCCTCAAATTATCAAATGACAATTGCTTTTACTGACTGCAAATTAACTTAGAAGCCTGTATTTTTAAAAGTCTAATCACTCTTAACTTTTTTCTGATTATAAATAGCTGCATATGAAGTATAAATAGAAATGGTTAAAATTGCCTGTGGTTTTAAAAGTAGTATCACCTGTGTTGCCACAAAATAATGATGAGGATTTCCCTCTTCAACCATAGAAAGCAGACATTCTGATCCGCTCACAGCATTCTTGAAATGAGGACAATTTCGAACTTGGCATTTTTGTGCAATCAATTTTGCCCCATATAAGTCATTTCCCAACGTTTCTAACTCTTTTAATACACACCTGAAAAGAAAAATTACAGCAGATACATTTCAGTTGTTTACATAAACTGTAAAAAACAATAGTCAATTTTTTGTTAAAATAAAACTATGCTGTTACAATCTAAATTTGTCACCTGGTAACCATTTACTTTAAAAGATGACTTGAAAAATGCATTTACCAAGTAGGAAGAACAACAGTTAAAATTTACTGAGCACTTATTATGCTCCATGCAGCATGCAAATTGCTCTTCACATAATTCTTGCTTAATCTCAAAATAACCCTACGAAGTTAGGTCACTTACCTTGAAATTATCCTTATTTTAGAGCACTTCATTCTGAGATTTCAAGTCACATGCCAAAGTTCGAGTAACTAGTAAGTGGTACTGAGACTTGCAGTTTGACAACAGCTCCCTTGTCCCAACCATAGCGTAATAAGCTTCTGCTTCAAGTACAAATTGGTACACTTTCAAAATATTTTCAATTCAGAACAGTAAAACTTCTCACGTCATCAAGTTGTTTTTAAAAAAACATTTAGTCATAAGAGTTCCTTGACCCTAGCCAGCCTTTGCCAGATTCTTTCTCGCCTCATCTCCTTTATCATCTTTCTGTTTTAAGATTTTGCTGCTTTAGTCATTAGACTTGACCTCTATTTTGAGTACTGCCAGCCTGTGGACATCCCGCCATCAACTCTTCAGATTCACCATGTCTAAGATCAAACCACTTTCCTGCATCCAAATTTATCCTCCAAGACTTGCTATCTCTTTGAAATTATTATTTTCCCAGACACCCTAGACAGAAATCAGAAATCACATTTGACCTTCCTGCCCTTCTTCACCCATACTCCTACGCCATCAGTTGCTCGACCTATCTATCTCAGTAACGTAACGTTTCTTTGGAGAACCCTTGGGTTCCTGCCTTTCCTCTCCCAGGTTTAGGCTCCCCTTACTTCTTGATTGAACAACCGCAATTCATGCCTTTGCTCTCCTGTTTCTCCTATTTACCCTTCACATCACTGCAGTTACCTTTTCTAAAATAAAACCCAGGCCTGATGACATTCTCCTGTTATACTTCATAAGTTAACTCCACGTATCTTCAAACCTTCTACCTCTGTAGAGACCTAACTACTAGTGGCTAAGGAATATATTCCACTGAAAAACGAACGACCTGATTTCTTAAAAACATAAATTGCAACATGTAAAGGTAGGGAAAACTGTTAATATATTTAAAAACTGCCTGGTGTGATGGCTCAGGTCTGTAATCCCTTCGCTTTGAGGGGCCGAGGTGGGTGGATCACCTGCGGTCAGGAGTTCAAGACCTGCCTGGCCAACATGGTGCAATTCTGTCTCTGCTAAAAAATACAAAAATTAGTAGGGCATGGTGTCACACATCTGTAATCTCAGCTACTTCGGAGGCTGATGCAGGAGAATCGCTTGAACTCGGGAGGCAGAGGCTGCAGTTAGCCATGACTATACCACTACACTCCAGCCTGGGCAATAAAGTGAGACTCCATCTCAAAAATAATTTTTTTAAAAAAACATAAGCGACATACAAATCAAATGTAATATATGTATTTAGTTTGAATCCTGATATTTAAAAGGCTTCTTTCTCTTTTCAAGATACATGTCAAAGAACTGATAGAATAATACGCTCCAAAGTAACACATCAGTAAGGAGAGGTGAGGGATTCAACAAGATTGGTCATGTTAGTAACTGCAAAAGCTGGAGAGAGATTTCATTATATTATTCTACTTTTGAGTTGTCTGAAAAATTCCAGAGTTAAAATAAATTTGTTAGAAAAATAGATGTAGAACATAATTTTATGTGGCACTTCTCAACCTTTTTAATATCATAGCACTGTATTTAAAATGTTAATATTTCTATGGCACACAGGAGTATATGGACAAATTGCTTGTAGACAAAAGCAATCAATTCAGGGGCAAAGACTACTGAAGGATTTGTTAGCCTAAAGACTAAGAGGATCAAAACTTTGGGGGTATCTGTAACCCAGCTGAGACACTGCTTGAGAAATTCTGAACAAATACAGAAAGCTGTTCATTAAGTAGTGGTATGTGAGAAAAGGAGACTATTAACACGGTATACACAGAAAAAGCCCATACTTTGTTATGGCTGTAGTTAGAGATGGGGGTTTCCCTATGTTGCTCAGGATTACCTCAAACTCCTAGACTCAGGCAACCCTCCTGTCTCAGCCTCCTGCGTAGCTGGCATTACAAGTGTGAGCCACCTTGCCTGGCTTAAAAGTCCATTCTTGTGCTTGTGTGAGTGTGTATAAATAACTGGATGGATGACACTGCACATGTTAACAGTGATTATTCGTGAGTAGTGGCATTATGACTCATTTTAATTTTCTTTTTTTGCTTTTTAAAAAGTAAATATTCTACAATGAAAAAACTACTAAATTTCTTAATAGTTCTTCATGGTCTAGCCTCAATTTGCCTTCTTCCTAGTTTCATTCTCAAATATATTCTGTGCTGCAACCTCTTTCCCAGGCATTTCACAACTCCATTCTGTGTGAAGAGGTCTCCACAAGAAGAAGTGTCATTCTTTTCTGTCATTCAAAATAGTTCTTCCCCTCAGAATTGAACAAGTGAATGGGCTCAAATGTTATCTGAAATTTGTCACAATTCTCTCCTCCCCACTCTTCATCCCCACAAGCTTCCATCCCACATTTCAATGAAGTGGGGAAACATCAGACCTAGAGTGAAAACACATCCACTGCAGACTGACCTATGCACTTTACTGGCCATGAGGGAGCAGTGTGTGGCATATAGGGGGTACTTAATAAAACCAGTTGAATAAACAAATGTCCTTGTGCAGATTCCTTAATCTCAAGTACTGACTTTTTGCCTTGGACATCAAAGATGGTAACTCATAGGTTCACTGTGAGGCTTGAAGAGCTTTGGTTTAAACTAAGAAAAGTTATGCAAATGACGGCAACCATTTGAAGAGAGGTACACTTGGGATACCGAAAAACGCTCTAGTACGCTATACTCCTTTGAGCTTACAGCAATCTTACAAGCAGTCACGATCTCTATTTTACAAATGAGGAATCCGAGGCTCAGAGAGGCTATATAATCACAGAGCTGGTAGGACTGGGATTAAGATTCGAAGTCAGATCTTTCTGCTATAATGTGCTCTCATTCACCAGGCTAACGACACGTGATATTCACAGGGCACTGTCCAATCTGCCTCTATTATAGGTATTCGCCGGACCACCTTCACCTCTCCGCTTAACTGTCAACTCCACGTGGGCAGGGCGTTTTGCCTCTCCTGAGCTCTCAGTGAAGGTCTGTGGGCAATGGCCTCGCCTCTACAACACCCGACGGACCCCCTATGCCTCCTCCCCGGCCCTCCGGGCCCACCTTGTGGTGCACAGCTGTGTCTCCCCCATGAGGTAGCGCGGCAGCTGCTCCCGCAGCTGGATGCGGCCCCGCAGCGCCGCCTGACAGAAGGTGCCGTCCAGCAGGATCTGGTACGGCTCGCGGACTCCGAAATTGTTGCGGAAGAAGCCAAGATGCTTCTTGGCATGTTTCTGCCTTGTGATCTTCATGCCTGGCTTACCGGGACCGAGGCCACCGGACCAGGAAGCATCAGCAAACGCCCTCACGGACAACCCAGTACCCTCAATGCCAGTTTCACCCGGAAATGAAGTGCCTTTGGCGCCGGAAGCAAACGCCCCTGTCTTCCGGGCCTGCCCACTGGCTTACGTCATGTCCAGACTAGCGCGCGCTTCCAGCGCGGTGCCCGCGCTTAAAGGGGCGGTCCTAGGGCGGAACTTGTGCGTACGCGGGAAAACGCTGGGTTGAGCGATTCCGCATGGGGGCGCACATGCGCAGTCTGGGGCCACGGTAGAAGAAAATTACAGAATACATTTAGCGTGTTACCTACGTTTCAGAGACACGTATCAAGAGCTTCTCTGAAAGACTGGCAGTATCGTAGTAGTCAGTGATAATATTGAGCCTTAATATGTTCCAGACACTGTCCTAAGTGATTTACCTTACATTATTCCCTTGAATGTTTATAATTCCCAAGTGAAAGAAGGAAATGATATATTGGATAGCTATGAGTGGGGAGGTTTGTACTGGCTGCTTTCCCATAAAGAAATTAAGCTCGTTCACGAAGAGCACGTAGTTTGTTAGTGTTTGGAACCCATATTTCGTGCCTGAAGTTCAAATATTCTTGCTACACCACCATAGAAACTAATGTCACTCAGGAGCCATTTGTCAGGGCAAGGGGTGCCACCATTTTGTATTTCCTCCTGCATTAGGACCATCCTAAATCATTCGCACGGAGTGTTTTGAAAGAACTCTCAAGAGCTTCGTCTGCCTAGAGTCAGAATTCCTAACCTTGAGTCCTGGTTCTGCCGCAAACCCAAGCCGTTTGATCTTGGGCAACTCCCCAAGAAAGCTGGGTTCAACTTCCTCACTGTCAAACTGGTTATAGGTCTAGATGAGTTTCAAGGACTCTTTTTATGGCTAGAGTCTCTGACATAGGAAGACTACATACTGGGCCAGTAACAGGAAGGCACAAAGCTGACTGAAGGTTTAAAAATTACTTGGTCAATTTGATTAATGAGGAGAATGAATCAGAAAATTTCAAGTTCTCCCACGGCTAACTGTCGAGTATCTACTTCAAGGCAAAATAATCAAAGAATGGGGAGTATGGAATTTTGCATTTTTGTCCTGGCCTGGAATCTGTCCCAGATCTAGTTTTGGCTAAAGATCGAAAGAACCAGCACAGAAAATGATTTACAACGTGATTGAATGCATTGTTTGCATTTGGGGTTTTATTTCAATATATAGGTTTATGAAATTGGAACTAAGATCTATAATGTTAGCCCTGCCCTGACTCCCAGCACATCACTTAGATGGTTGCTTTCATTTAAACTTAAAATAAATTTAAGAATTGGAAGCCATGAAAACTTTTGCAGGGTTAGATTCATGGTCTTTGAGTGTAATTGCTCAGTACTTTTCAATTTGAATCCTCTTTTTATCCCTGTATGCCAACTCTCTACTCCAACTATGCGCCTACCACAGACAGAGAAACGAGATACCACCTGAGTCTTGCAAAACAGTTAAACCATTTTTTCTTAAATAGCCTCGGATTTATCTACCAGCTTCTTGGCCACTTTTCTGTACTAAGAAAAATGTGGTGCAGCACTAGAGATTTTAGTCTTATCTTAGTTTTTTGTTGTTGTTTTTTAATTTACCAAACTACAGCACATTTTTTCTCCCCAAGCTCCATGTATATGACAGTGCCAGTTTGCACCCTATCTTTATTATGAAAACATGAAGATGGTCTATAGTGATGATTATCAAGTTTAAAACAAAGTTTTCGGTGGGGCGTGGTGGCTTATGCCTGTAATACCAGAACTTTGGGAGCCCGTGGCAGGAGGATCACTTGAGCCCAGGAGTTTGAAACCAGCCTGGGCAACATAGGGAGCCCCTGTCTCTACTAAATTAAAAAAAGACGAAATGGCCGGGCGCGGTGGCTCAAGCCTGTAATCCCAGCAC